AGAGCTTATGAAGAGATTGGTTGCGATTTTGTCCAAATCTAAGCACCGGTTCATTGTCTCCAAAGGTGTCAATCACGAGAAGTACTCATTGGCGGACAATATGTGGGGCGAGAGGTCTGTCCCTCAGGTGAAAGTGTTGTCAGTCGTAGACCTAATGATAACACACGGCGGCAACAATTCTGTGACGGAAACCATGTATTTCGGGAAACCTATGGTTGTCTTACCACTGTTTGGGGATCAATACGATAACGCACAGAGAGTTCAAGAAAAGGGGTTTGGGATTAGACTCAATCCCTACGAGTGCTCTGAAAATGAATTATTGGATTCAATCGACAGACTATTAAACGACGAAATATTGGCCCAAAAGTTGGCAAAAGTTTCGCAAAGAATTCAAAGCGAAAGGAATATCGAAAAACTCGTCAAAATAGTCGACAATTTAGTAATTGATTAAAAATTAGCAATTTTATTGAATTATAAACCTATTAAAATACTGATACAAGAGAATATATTTTTAAATATCATTTTCTATTACAAAAATAGATATTATTTTCTATTATTTTCTAATTTAAATTTTTTATTTATCGAAATAAACCGATAATAAAAAGATAGTTAAAAACAGAAATATAGATGAGTTGCGAGAACTCATAGGAATTGATGGGAAATAAGTCGAGACAATAGAAACCAATGACAGGACCAAATTTTTTATTTATCGAAATAAACCGATAATAAAAAGATAGTTAAAAACAGAAATATAGATGAGTTGCGAGAACTCATAGGAATTGATGGGAAATAAGTCGAAACAATAGAAACCAATGACAGGACCCGACAGTCGGCTAATCATTGACTCGATTCTCAATCTCTGTCTATAAGTCAGTGAATGTGTGGTTTGTATTGAACACAACAATGGATAGCATTTGTGGGCGCTTTTTGATACCATTGCCAACAATGAGTTTAAACTGAGTAGTAATAAAATAAACAGTGATGAGCCGGCCACAAAAAATAATATCATAATCAGTGTGGTATCCTTATTATGTGTTGAGTATAATAGGAGTTCCACCGCAGGAATTGCGATAAAATATTCAATAAAAATCAATTTAGAGAAACAAGTATTCAATGAACTCGTGGTTCGTGTGATAGCGTTGTGTTCAACAATGGCTCGCATTAGCCGTGCGTTGAGTCCGTGTTTCGCGCAAAACTCTATCCGACTATTGATTGCATCGAAACTGTACTTCAAATACACGGCTATTATATGGTTCGTGTGATAGCGTTGTGTTCAACAATGGCTCGCATTAGCCGTGCGTTGAGTCCGTGTTTCGCGCAAAACTCTATCCGACTATTGATTGCATCGAAACTGTACTTTAAATACACGGCTATTATAACGAAAAGATATGCACCGGTTATGGACACCAAAAATTGTTGGAATACCGATACGATTGAAACAAATGCCCAAAATAGTATAGCAACTAGGTTATAACCGAGATTACTATCAATATATGCTACAAATGTCGGTATAATTACAGCCAATGACGCTACTAATGAACTACTGTATGTTGCAGGTATCATGATCAATCTCGTGTAAATGTTAAACAAAATGCCAACTTTCCTACCTTTCCCCGTGTTTCGTGTCAAAATAGATCGATTGTGTTTTATATGGTTAAACACATTGACCGCGATAAATTTATTATTGTATTCATACCAGTGAATTACCAATAATATCATTAGTGCCGTGATTGAGGTCATACCATATATACCGGATATTACCCGAGTATTGCCCAACATGTGGGTTGGGTCACACAATAATTTTTGTAGCCATAGATTATTGGTACTAGGTGACATAAAGAATAGTAGAATATATCGTAACGTATGCACAGCTAATAGACATTTCATGATAATTATAACGATTAAACGTCTAATGCTTTTGAATCCGGACTCGTATTCATCGAAATTCACGCAAATCCAGAAATACGTGTTTTTGCACCACTTTTCCAATAGCGATATGGCACGAGCAGGGTCACTCCAGTTGCTCGGGTTAATGTGAAATATTTTAGTAAATAATTGTAGCAAATATTGTACTATCTTATTTCTATTACGCGAACTCCGAAAGTAATTATTTACGAGCATGGTTGTTTCCGGTTTAAACAAAATACATCGAAATATACACAAAATATTATTTTTTGTAGTTGTCAATATTATTTTAAAAAGCTTAGACTTTAACAAAATATGAATTTATTGTTTAATTGTATTTACGATATCATATAAGTTAATACAAAATAATAATGAATAAATGATGTCAATCATTAAAGTCAAAATGTTTATCATGAATTATTAATGATATACAATATTAAAAATCAATAAAAGTCATTTTAATGAGAGTTTTAAATATTGATTTATTTTACTAATGTTAAGTATTCAGTATTTTGAGCATAGGAACAGTTTTTATTTTTATTAAGTTTTAGTTAAGTTTTAGAAATAACTATGGATATACGAGCTACTAACACTCATAATAATAAACTAACTTATATGCAATAATTCTTGAATTTCGAAATAAATATATCGTTTATTTAAAGCCATTATAAATTCATTCTCAATATTAAACGGATCGATTAAAATAATACAATAATTGTATCCATTTTAATTGTAATACTGTATTTTCATTTTATGAATGCTATTATTTTTACATATACTCATCATTTATAAATGACATAGTAATGTTGCTACGGTAGTAATATAGATATTGTATTAAGATTAATTTCTAAAAATTATTATTAATTAATAATTATTAATAACATGATACATAACAAATACGATTATCAAGTACAATCATTTGCTAACTTAATAGAGAAATTGGGTTAAGACTACATCCAGAACACGGTTCCGGTGGTTGTGTCGATCCACAGGCATTATCAGGTGTCCCGCGGGAAAGGCGGGTGTCTCACGATTGCCAAGTTCTTCAGCCGTATCCGTGACGGCGGAGTACTGGCGCCAGACTATGACCACTGCGCCTTCACTCAGGCCTGTTGTATACGAAACTTCTTTTCCCAATTCACCTTTAAATAGACCACTCAGTCATCACTTCCATCCACTCCCTCACCCACTCACCCACCGACTGTCCACTCAATTAGTTCCCTATCTTTAGCTTATATTTAAATTTATTTCTATACTAATAGTTATTATAATTTATTTCTGCATTTCATGTGGTTTTCAAACGAATGGTTTGTCGAAAAGAAAAGTTTTTTGATTAACTAAGTATTTTGTATTTATTTATGCGTTCAAATGAATATTGAAATGAAAGTTTGAATCAACAGTAGTGCCACAGAACTGTATGACATTATTTTGAAATCAAGTTTAATGTCCATATATTATCTTAGTAGATAACAGGGTAACATGCTGATTATTGATATTAAAAATCAATTCATGCTGCACCCATCTACCAAATTACTGACTTATTCAATGTGCTCCAAATGAATTAAACTTTTAATAAGCAAAATGTATAATGATGAATAAAAAAATTAATGAGTGATTTCTATAATTATATTTATGAAATAATAATATGATGCATAATAGTGATATGCACTGTGTGCAGTAAAATTTTAATAAAATACAGTATACTGTACATTATATACCATACAACATTTGATAAGTTACAGTAATATGTACTTCTATATAAATTCGAGATAATGATATGTTTGATAATACACACACTAGCACTTTTAAAGTTTTACTAACATTTTCGGTGCATTACATAACTCTAGTTTAATATGATATTATTTTATCGCTTTTAATGTGTTAATAAAAAACTATAAAAAGGTTTATATTTAATGCGAACCATAAAACTTATGCCATATAACATAAACCAAAAAATACTTCAACTTAAACCTTAGTTTTAAACAATGCCAAACAAAAAACAAACCGTACTGTTTGTCCCTGATCAGTTTGTGGGCCCTATAAACGCCAGTATAGGTATGGCTGAGGTATTGCGAGACACCGGTCGATACCACTGTATGTTTGCGGTGACCAACGATTGGAAGTCACGGCTCGAGTCCATTGGGTTTGAGGTGAAACACATGGGACACCACGTGGCCGGGGATGTAGTCTCGACTGACCCGCTTGAGAGTAATGTGTCTGAGGTCGAGGAATCGGGTCTTATGGAAAACACCACTCCATTGGAAATGACTATTCGTGGCAATGATTTCCTTGTAAACTATGGTCTCAAAGAAATGAAAGAAACGGATCCATTGGTTAAGGCTATTATAGAGCATCTGAAACCTGATGTCATAATTAGTGACCGGGTTGTTCATTTACCCTCTATTATCACATCAGGCATACCCTGGATATTAAGTTGGAGTTGTAATCCCTTGTCATTAAACTGTGGATACCCGGATGACATACTTCCACCGCCATTTTTAGGTATCTATAGTTATTTTAAATAACTTATTTATAATAATATAAAATTCTAATAAAATTATTCAAAATAATAATATTATTTGTAAATATTGTATCGTTTATAAGGATTGCCGACAAATAGTGAGACAGAAGTGAAGGAGAAATACAGACAACAAGTGTGGGAAAGAAGTCGTGAAAAGTGGTATAAATATAGGGATCAATTGGTTTCCATGGGATGTCCCAAACTTCAAGAATTCCTATTATGGACCCCATCCCCCTTTGCCAACTTATATATGACTCCTAAGGAACTGGATTATACGGATGTCAGACCACTTCCCGACACTTTCCATGCATTTGATAATTTTAAACGAACCGGAAATGAAGACACGTTTGAAATCCCAGAAACTCTTAAGAATAGGTCCGGAAAACTGATTTACTTTTCATTGGGTTCTATGGGTTCAGGAAATGTAGAGCTTATGAAGAGATTGGTTGTGATTTTGTCCAAATCTAAGCACCGGTTCATTGTCTCCAAAGGTGTCAAACA